GTGGTGGTTTTGGAGTAAATCTTGAAATATGGAATAAGAAAATGCTTTTATCTCATTATTGTTATCTTTAGGGCATGAAGTTTACATTCAATAACTTGACTTGTACATGGACTGGAAAACTCTCAGTTATGATCAATAATTAACTTAATAAGTTTACTTTTTCATGGCCACTTTCCTTGACAAATCTGGTTTTGCTAGTGCCTGTGAAAAAAGAAACTCAATAACTAATAGCTAAAATAAAGTTCTAGAATATGGCCCTCTTTACCAGCTAGCTGTGCCACAATGATTAGCTAGTTTACAATTTGCAAATCCTGTGCAAGGTAGCGTAGTCTTGTCTTTAAGTCAGAGAAGTTTGGTTTGAATAAACTCAATTTTGGTTTCGTTGTTGTAATTCTTGTTGCTCAGTATGCTGTCATAAAACTTAACAAAGTTTATGTTTTGTTGTTTCTGCAAACAATTAATAATATGCAAGTGCATCACTGCAAAAACAGAAAACAGCTGAATAATCAGTTATTCTTATTGTGCATAATGTTTCATAAGACAAAGCATGGCTGACGTTATTCCTACAATAGGAAATTATTAAGCAGTGATGGGGGGAGGTTTCCTTTACTCTTTAAGAGCATAAAGAGAATGGAATCTCCATTGCCCAGGATAGGTTAATATGTGATTATGGCAAAGTTTCTAGTCAAAAAAGTTATCGAACCTGTGTTCTTCCAAGCTTTTCTTTAGAAAAAACTACATTTATTTGATGGCAAATCAATTCAAAACAAAAAAATTAACAACTTCAAAGAGATAGAATTCCACCCTCTGGGGATAAAGGATATGATTTCAACTCTTAAATTAGAATACTTTGAGAAACCACATCAGCCTTAGCTGGTTTTTATGTAGGTCCTCTATACATACCCTGCTGAACTTGGAAAATGTAGTACCCTGAGAAAAACCGCGGAGCAAGGTGAAAACCAACAACAAACTCGTACAACCCTGGAGCAGAGTTGAGCACAGATTGCATTTGTGAGACAGACTGAGAGGCGAGCAGTCTCACCACTGCACCATTCCTCCCTAATGCTCACTGCGATGCTTCAGTAAGCAACAACCATGGACTTGTTAACAAACCAAAAATATTTTACTGTTGTCAGGGCAGTGATAAGTTGTGCATTTATTTCAAAGTAAACTGTGCATACTACATTCAGAAAATATGAGCAAAAGCTTATAAGAAAGTTATCATCTTTGACAGAAAGTAACATAAACCAACATAAACCAACCAAATTCATTAGGATGTATTCATAGGCATTCCTTCTATTCCTTCAGTTCTCATAAATATGACATAGTTGCAACTCAGCATCAGGTAGATTCTTCTGAAAGCTGATCAATACTTTCCTTGAGATTTTTCTTTCACTAGCTTGCTCGCTTGTTCACTTGCGCAAGCAGTCTGCTAGTTTGATCATCTCCATGAATTTTTTTTCCAAAATTAATGTCGATCAAAATCAAATGAAAGCCAAGCAAAAGTCAAGCTGGCTATCATTAATTTTAGTTGAGATCATATCTTTGCATGTCTTCTTCAATTGACAACATTAGAATTCATGCTTCTCATAGGATAAATGGCTCAGGTGGAACATTCTTCCTGTAAATTGGTGCTCTACAGGTGATAAAGGTCCTTCAATCAGGACTGTCTACAACCATAGGGCTTTTGAGAAGTATAGAACACCCGGGGGAGGGGTACCCTGTTAACCTTTGGGTACAGCAGGTGGGTAGGGGTGTACCGCTGGGATACTGAAACCCTTGCTCTATACTAGACCATGTTCACCTTTACTTTGCAACCCTGTTCTAGACTAGGCACCAAAAACCCCAACCCTCACTTTCGAGTTGCAATTGCTATTATAGAACCTGGGGAAAAAGAAACCTGTTCTAGACTAAACTATTTATTCCCTGGCCACTTCTCCCATAAATTATACCCTATTATAGACCAAAACTGTCTGCTTTCTATACCCTATCTTCACCTATCCCAGACTTAACTGCCTGAAAACAAAACCCTTCACAGCAGCACAGATCCATATAGCCTTATGTATGGGAGTCCCCCTCCCCTCCNCATCAAGTAGTTACTGTTTTTTGACTTGCTTTCCATCAGTCACTGTTGAGTTCAAGATTACTGTTCTCTTCCTTTTTGAAAAAGACTCCAGTTTTCCACGGTTTAAAGATGTATGACTTTGGAATGTCACCGAGTAGTGCACCATAATAAGACATCACCTCTCTTGAGCACAAAGGTGGCTGTGTCGTAGGATCCCCTTCAGTGATCTGACCATCACTGCCTTTGCTTTCTTTGGCCTCCTCCTTGTAATCTGTTTGTAAATTATTATCTTCACACTCTGCACTTTGGTAATCTGACTCGCCTTCATCACTTTGAAAGTCTTCTGGGTTTAACCTAAGCTTTGCCAATAGATAGTGTTTGATAGCATGAACACCTCTGTTAATCACAAATTGCGGGGGATCTTCCAGAGGGTTATTAGATAAATTCAGTCCTGTTAATGTTCTAATGAATCCCAGCTCAGTTGGGAGAAAAGTGAGCTTGTTTCTACCTAGCAACAGTGTTTTTAAATTCTTGTGTTCTCCAACATTTCTTGGGATTTCTTGAACTTTGTTATTTCTTAGATCAAGCCATTCCAGACTATGAAGACAAGTAAAGAAGTCTCCTGGTATGAGACAAATTGTGTTTCCTTCAAGGTAAAGATATTTTAGATGAGAGAGATCAAGTACATCCAATCCATGTGGAATCTGTTGGATTCCATTTCTGTTTAAATCCAAAACATCAAAGCCCTTCTTTGCTACGCTTTCAAATGATCTTAGGATTGCCTTGCTGTCTTTGTCAGGGTCATCCATGTAAGTGACAAATTAATAAAGCTAAGCTGATCAATATTTTGTTTCTCAAGAACTTATCATTTTGAGAGCTTGCAACAATGTTACTCAAACTACAATAACTGAAGTAGATTCTAAAGTGCATCAATTATTAATGACTTACTGTTTGAGTTGAATATTTTATGTGATAAATTATGGGACAGGGTGCAGACTCCAGTTCTTGAAAAAAGTAAACTTTTGTGTCTCAGAAAAAAATGAAAATATCATTCAAGAAAGGAAAAAAGATAAATACACAATTATGAAAAGAAAATAAGTTCAGGGAATGAACCACTGCATTTAACTTTGTTTTATATAAGTTGCAAACAAGAACTGTTACCATAAATTGAATTCTATCCTTACTCGATCAGTACAAAATGGAACAGAAAAATTTAACTGTCAGGGAACACAATTAGGCCAAATATTTAATTTCTTTTCTTTTTTCATGTGTACACATACAGCAGACCAGCTGGCCATCAGTAATTTTATCTATTTTAATGCTGAAAATAATTATTAGTAACCAGTGTACAAAACATTTCTACAATAAGGTTCATAAATTATTAATATCATGAAAACCTGTTTTTTATGAACATAAAAATTAGTAATCCACTGGCAGCAGGTATTTAACACAAAAAATACTTGAGAATAGTTAACTGAGTGTGTAATTGGGCCTTTTAATTCAGACATCCTTATGTAAACATTTCTTAGTTTGCTTCAATCTGTATAATCATCAGTAATTATAAAGACTGTGTATTCCAGCTTCTTGTCAAAGTTTTCTCATCTACTTTTCAATGACTTGTTTTCCATTAATGGAATATGGAATTATCAGTGCACTAACAGTATGATTGATAACAAGCCACAGGTCTACCTGTAAAAAATTACCTTTTATTACCTTTTGGTGTTAAAGCGCTACTATGACGAAATTCACATCTTTCCTATCTAAGCCATTTCAAAACATAAACAAGTAGTCTCTATGAAACAAAAACTGTTGTTTACTCTTTTAAAAATGTCTCTTTCTAAGATATTTCCAAATTTGTGGACTAGTAGCAGACAAGAAATAACTTGTGAAAAAAAAAACAACACAGTTTTAAATTTGCAAAACATGTTTCGGATGACCAACATCCATCTTCTTTTGCAAATTTAAAACTGTGTGTTTTTATCTCAAAGCTTTTTCTAAGATAATCAGAAACCTATTACAATGCACCTTCAGCTTCTTGGTTCCAAGGTATTTTCCTAATATAATTACATAATAGCTGTCTTGATAAAATTAGTATTCAGGTTTAATTTGCTGGTAGTTGTGATCTCAATGTTATTCAACCCAAATAATTTCAGGTTTGATAATGTCATTGATTGTAGGTCAGAAGGCTGATATTCCTATATCCATATCTATCTTCTATCTGGTTAATACTTTTTCGAAATGTGATAATTTATTTTTGTCATGTTGTCAAAAGCAACTGCCACGACTTCCATGACTTCAAATACACAACAAGAGTTTAACAGCAAAACCAAGATCAGAATTTTCAAGCCTAATGTACAGCCACACTCTCAGTGTTGTTGTATGGATGTGAAACCTGGCAAACAGCTAAAGTGGACAAGAAAAAGCTGGACGTGTCCTTACATAAGAGCCTTTGTTGGATACTAAAGATCTACTGGACAATGTGCATAACAAACAAGGAGATTAGAACAAGAGCACGGATTGAACCAATAAGCAAGCAGGTGGCAAGGAGGAAATTGGACATGGCTAGGTCATGTTCTTAGAATGGATCATCATTCACATCCTCGAATTGCTCTCACATGGGTACCAGAAGGCAGAAGGAATCAGGGTCGACTGTGAGAGACATGGAGAACAGTGAAAAGGGAGCTTAATGAGAAAGGATTAAAATCTTGGACAGAGGTGGCATCAGTTGTAGAGGATAGGACAGCCTGGAAGCAGAGAGGCGCCAGCCCAATTCTCCACTAAGAGACTGGAACAATGATGATGACCCAACCAGAGCCTCACAAGTTGACTTTCAAGCTGGCATTGATAAACAAGGTAAATTAGCTGCCAGGGCAAATTTGAAAAAACTGATCGTTTTTTCAGCATTCTTCAGTGCTCCTCTCACTGAACAAGCTGAAAGCTTTCCTTGTTATAATGCAATCTCTGCACTGCTTGAGGAAACCATATATCTTCTCTATTTTGCTTCACCAAAAGTATTCAGTTAGCAATCAAAGTGCTGTATATACAGACCTTTATGAGTTAATAGGCAAAATTCACACAGAAGAATCATTGTATGCCAGATGGACATCTTTCCAAACAAAAGAAAAGCAGGGCAGTTCTGAATGTTTCTCACTTGGTAATAGTTGTTCAGGTCTTTCAATTCCAGAAGTAAAAATCAAATATGTCTTATCCAGGAGCTAAAAGTAACTGGTTCTTGATGAAAACAGAAACTACTGAGACAGGCAAGTGCTCTTTAGCCATCAGGTGTGTTTGCACCAAAACTTGGGCATATGATGCTGCTGTGTCAACTACCTATGACCAAGATTGACCTTTGTATTGTCTTTTTTTCATCTTGAATTACATTAGTTGTTGTGAAAAAACTGTCTTAAAATGTTTACCATTTTTGTCCTCCTCAATCTTTGTTTAAACTGTCCTGAAGAAGGTGATTTGAAGTCTACATTAACCTCCCCCCCCCCC